ACTTACTACTTACTACTTACTACTTACTACTTACTACTTACTACTTACTACTTACTACTTACTACTTACTACTTACTACTTACTACTTACTACTTACTACTTACTACTTACTACTACTACTACTACTACTACTACTACTACTACTACTACTACTACTACTACTACTACTACTACTACTACTACTACTACTACTACTACTACTACTACTACTACTACTACTACTACTACTACTACTACTACTACGTGTGCCAGCATTGGCCCGAGGCATTCGATGGAACCTCTTATCTGGGGCCGCGAAACGTGTGCGGGGTGCGCCGAACTCGCCCCGAAGCCTTCGGTGGTTCCCCTTGTGGGGCCACGAAACGTGTCAGGGTTATGCAGACATGGACCCAAGGCTCTCGGTGGAGCCCCCTGTGAGGCCGTCTTCAGCCCATCATCGCGATCATCATCATCCTCATCCTCATCCTCATTACTATCATCATCATCGTTTCCATCGTCGTCGTGGTGACCATCGACAAAACAATCGTCGTCGTGATCATGGTCATCAATCACAATCTAATAGCACCAGGGAAGTTTCCTAGGGTTCCATAGAAAGCTTCCCTAAGGGCTCCTAAGGATTCCCTAAGGATTGACAACATTCCCTAGGGATTCCGAAGGATCCCCAATGGATTCTTAAGGATTCCCGAGTGGGTTCCCAAGGACTCCCAAGGGTTTCCTAAGGATCCATCAGGGTTTTGTAAGATTCCAAATGATTCCTGTGGGTTACCAAGGATTCCCTACGGATCCTTCAGGAACGATTCGCTCCCAAGGGACCTCTAAGGATCCCCCCGGGATTCCTAAGATTCCCGAAGGATTCCCTCAGGATTCCGAAGATTCCCTAGGGACTCCTAAGGAATCCCGAGGGAGCCCTAATGATTCCCTTGTGATTCTCAAGGATTCCCTAAGGATCCCTAAGATTCCCAATGGATTCTTAAGATTCCCAAAAAGGATTCCGAAGGATTGCCTGGGGACCCCTAAGGATTCCGAACATTCCCATGGAAGTAATAAGAACTGCCTAAGGAGTCCTTAGAAATCCCTAGGTGTCCTTAGGGATCCCTATGGTTTTCTTGGGGACCCCTAGGGAGTCCCTAGGAATCCCCTAGGGAGTCCCACGATTCCCTTGGGAATCCTAAGGGAGTCCTACGATTCCCCAGGGAATCCTACGATTCCTTAAAAGATCTTACGATTCCCTTGGATTGGTGGTCGCACTCCCCGTGTGCCAACGACCGTCCCAGCCCAGGTGGCCTGTTCGGGGGCGATAATCCTAACAACCCTCGGGATCCTGTAGGGTTGTTGGTCGCACTCCCCGTGTGCGGCCCCGCTGTGCATACGCCCCTCCCGGCCCCGGGGGGGGGGCTAAGCTCCACTAGCTCCTTCTCATGCCTTAAAGCTACCAACTTCACTTTCCAAGAAGAAATTCCTCAACAACGAACCGGGGCCAGGACGGTGGTTGCAACGAACAACCACACCAACCTCATCAACAACAACAACAACACCAACACCACAAACAACAACAACAACAACAATCACTTTACCCGAACGCTCAGTGTTTTCACCAGTGCCAGGGTTTTCATGCGACGCCAGCCAATACCCCCACTTTGTGGGGGGGCCGGTTCAAGCTCTACCAAATATCCACACGACTCTTCGCCACCACCCACACCCAGCTTCCCGCCCTATGACGTTCGGACACTTCACTTCGTGGCCTGCGGACGACCGTGGCTACTACACTGGCGTGGAGTACACACCCACAGAAGTTGTTAGGACAGCGCGCGCGGGTAGAAATTTTGAAAAGTCGTGCAGGTGTTTTTCGAGGACCTACGGTGCGATTCGTGTGATTTTATGATGCGCGGTGCTAAAATTCTTAAGAACCCAATGGTTTTTGGAGATTTCGGCGTGCGCGCGCGAAGAAAAAACGAATGTGTCCCGCATGGTATTATTTGACAGGGATGATGGCCCTGGCAGGTGCGCAACCGTTGTCGCAGAAGTTCGAAAAAGTTGCTCGCAAAAGCCCGTTTGACAGAAATGTTTAAAAAGTGTTGGGTTTCCTACGAATCCGCAAGAGCGCGCGGGATGAGATTTTGACATTTTTTTGTTGAAAAACCATTGGTTTTTTGATGTTTTTATGTTAAAATCGCTCCGAACACTAAGCTTTTGGAAGGATTTCGTCTTGCGCGCGCGAATGTCCACTTTACCTTATTTTTTGCAAGGGATTCTTGAAATTTGATTATATTAGAACAAGAAATGTCATTTTATAGTGTTTTTTGCAAGGGAAAACGGATTACAACAAAACAACCGGATCTGGACCCCATCCACTTTTCTGAAGCTTTCGCGAAAAATGATGAAAATGTAGCTGCGGCCTAGGCGCGGCGGGGGGGCCGTGCACCAGGGGTCCCAACAATAATTATTCTTTAGAATTAATAATGTTCAACAACAACAACAACAACAACAACAACAACAACAACAACAACACCAACACCAACAACAACAACAACACCAACA